TAACTTGGCGATTTTTTGGCGAAAATTTGGCAACCAACTCTCCTACAGCAACCCTCTATTTTTTTTCCCCCGCCACCATTTTGTCTTCACGAAGTAAAGACATGTTTCTTTTCTTTTTATCTACTGAACACTTCTTCCACAATTCTACTAGCCGAATTACACTTATGCTAGAATTTTATCAAACAAACTGCTTAATCATGACAAATATTCACTGCAAAATTGGGAAAAAGTGCACAATATACTCCTTACGCGTTTTCAAAATAACACTACACATAAACCATGTACACGCCGACTTATTTTTACTTAAAAAAAATCATCCCAGAATTGCACAAAAATGGCATTGCGCACACTTCACTATATCCATGTACACTGCTTTTTTCTCATCAATTCGAAAAAAATTTCACGAAAATACATGACAATTTTCTCAATCTTTAAACCCGGTAAAAAGAACATCTATGAAATTACATGATTGTGAAAAAAAGTATTTACCCTTTACAAATATGAACATTTCCACATATAAAATAAATAAAAATATCCAAAACTTTACCTCTAAATCATTATTACATTATACACGTCACCAACGAATCATTCATGAAGCAGCATTACAATATTTAGTATCAAATATTTAAATTATTTACATGCACGTTATTTCACTTAAACGTAAACCAAATTCCTACAAGCATAAAATTCACAAAATAACTATCATTTCATTAAAATATCACTGAACCATGTACACGTCGACTTATTTTACTTAAAAAAAACATCCCAGAATTGCACAAAAATGGCATTGCGCACACTCTTCACTATATCCATGTACACTGCTTTTTTTCTCATAAATTAAAAAATTTTCACGAAAATACATGACAATTTTCTCAATCTTTAAACCCGGGTAAAAGAACATATATGAAATTACAGATCACGAAAAAAAAGTATTTACCCTTTACAAATATGAACATTTCCACATATAAATAAATAAAATATCCAAAAACTTTACCTCTAAATCATCTATTACATTATACACGTCACCAACGAATTCATACATGAAGCATTACAAATATTTATTATCAAATATTTAAATTATTCCATGCACATTTATTTCAACTAAACATACACCAAATTCCTACAAGTATAAATCACAAAATAACTATCATTTCATTAAAATATAATTAAATTCAAAAACACACCACTTAAATATAATGAGCACATACATTCAATTAATAAAAATTACCTTACAATCCTAATTACTTTAAACTAAATCATTGCTAATAACAATTTTCCAATAATACCAAATTCCTTTTCACCTTACATTTCCAACAATGCATAAAAATAATTAAAAATACTAACTACCTAATCTCCTTCAGAATCTCATTACGTGGCGGATTACACTTTTCTTCATTCTCTTTCAGAATCTTTAAAATCATACTTATTTTAAAGCAAGATACCAGGTAAAATAAAGAACATAAAAACTGTTTATTCTCTCTCACAAACCTTAAAAAACATTTCTTACTATCCTTTTCAATACCACTAAATACCATTTCGAATCACTTTACTTACGGCCTGGGATCCAAAAATTCACAAACACTATTTCACACACAGAATAAAGCCAAATACAAAATTTCAATTTTTTCCGATTTCCCCCTTTTTCGATTAAAGAACCGTAATTCGTCATAATATCACATGACATATCCCATGATCTCTATTTCCCCACACAAAATAATGCGTAATCGGAACTCAGTACTGCTCACATTATTACCAAAGTCCCAGGTAGTAACCTTTATCGCCTTCAAAATGTCGCCAAACTACCAGTTACCGTAATGTAAAGATCAACCAAATAATGTAATGACAGAAAGTAATGATTCCATACTTTTCAGAAAAAAGAAAAGATTCAAACACTAATATGTTATACGTTTTAAAAGAAACTATTGTAAATGGAATGTTTGAAAAATGAAAAAATAACTTTTGTCAGCTTTTCATCATTTTCTTCTCACGTCGAAATTATATTTACTATGTATTTCTTAAAAAAAATAATTCAAATTAATTCTCTACATATATTTCTCTTAAAAATACGAAAAAGAAATTGAAAAATATAAACTGCTTTTATATTTTTCACATAATGATTGTTTTTATTTATTTCACTAATTTTGTATCTAAAGGTAAGGATTTTTCAAAGGATCTAAAATATAACAGGAAACTGTTGGAATCTACAGTTGAAAAAATAAGAAATACTGAAAAATTATAATATTTTCAAAATCCTTTTACTGTCAGTGAATTACTATAAGAAAGCACCTTTTAAAAATGTAGAAATTAAAAATGAGAAATTTCAAAGTACGGCTTTCATTACAAGTTTCAAACACACCCTGTTAAATTTAGTTTCACAAATAAATGAAATTATATGTCAATAATAATTTATTTCAACACAACAATAATATTTTTAAGTATACATACCTCAGTCTCATATTCAGAATCAGAATCATCCATTTTTGAATCCATGTTGACTAAGCAAATGGAACAGACAGTGATTTTTTAACCACAGCTTTCTAATCAATTTTTTAAGTACCAATTTACGAACTAAATAAAAAATAATGCAACACTTATCCCGTTATTTAAGACAGACAGACAAAGTACACAGATGGTCTTGTTTTGCACCCGCTAAGTCTTTCTGCACCGATGGGCGAAGACAGCAGTCAATTATTCTCGATTATTGCGGTTATGACTGCATGATGATAACTGTTTCGAAAGGTCCTGTTTTTGACAGTTAAAATTTCTACATTTTCAATATAGTAAAACATTAACTTTAAACCAATAACTTTTCAAGAAATCAGAAGGTTTTTTTTTTCATTATTAAATGCTTGGAGAGAATTATTATCTACTGTAAATCGAATTATGCAACAGTTGTCCAACATTAGACAAAACGACTCAGATGAGGCAAAATAAAATTGTATGTTTGGCCCACGGAGTATAAACAAGGAGGGGAAACTGGTATTACAACTTTTCCTAAAAATGGTCCACTTTTGTCGCATTATTTATAGAGGGCGCTGCAATCGTTAGCTGTTCTACTTTTCATAGGATTTGCCATAGGCAGCATACAGAAAATATTGATTGATATCAATTCCATTATGAGTAATTTGTAAGCACCTGCTTCGTCCCCGGATGCAACAGTGGTTATACATCTGTTAGGCAAAGAATAAAAGCTTGAGAATCAAGATCAAGTATATTTAGAGATCCAAAGGTGAGCAACATTTATATCATGCCGATCACAGTCAGACGAATTATATACTTTACAGAACGTCTGGGTTGCTAGTAATAAGAGGGTATTTTAAAAAGTAATAGACTGGAAATTAGTTAAATATTTCACAGAACTTTAAATTGGAAATTAGTTAAATATTTCACATAACTTATGTGCACGGAGTATAAACAAGGAGGGGAAAGTGGTATTACAACTTTTCCCAAAAATGGTCCACTTTTGTCGCATTATTTATAGAGGGCGCTGCAATCGTTAGCTGTTCTACTTTTCGTAGGATTTGCCATAGGCAGCAACACAGAAAATATTGATTTGATATCAATTTCCATTATGAGTAATTCTTGTAATGCAACCTGCTTCGTCCCCGGAGCTTCCTATAGCTCACCCTTGTGTGTAACAATATAAAACAATACTGCTAAGATTGTTTCGGGATTATTTATATAATTACTGTTACATTTTTATTAAATTTTTGTTATTTAAATGAACTTGTTTCTTTCACTGCGAGTCTTTAAACGTTGAAAAAGAGATATTAAATTGAGAATAAAAAAAGTAAATAATTACTGCAAGAGAAAACAGACTTTAGTTTTATATAGTTAATGATGTTCTTTAAATACTGCAGCAAGCATACATTAGGTATTGATATTAAACTGGTAGTTTTGCAACAAATGTAATTAGACTCTATTAGTAAATGATCAGTTCAACAAATGAAAATAAAAAATAGGGGATCTTTTCCAGTAATAAAACATAACACGTGGAAAACTTTTTTTTTTTTTTTTTTTTTTTTTTTTCAAAAAAAAAGCTACATGTACCAATTTTGAAACTTAACAGCGAGGGAAAATATCATATCATTATTACTGTGTAAAATTTTTTGAACATAAGAAATTCATCTTTTTAGGCTATTGAATGGAGGAAATTTTCCTCCTTTGGAAAGAAAAGTGGACATGTACTTTTAAAATAAAAAAGATCTGCATTATATTTTAGTTAAAATACTGCATTTATTGGTTAGAAGTTAGTTCAGCAGGACAAAATTAAAGATAGATTGAATTAATTAGTCATTTTTTTATCTTTATTTAATTATGAATAATATAGTTCAGCAAACCAACTGAATTCAAATCCGAATTCTATTTTAAAATCTTTAAAATCAATTGAAACATACTTCTCAAATAACAAAGATATGGAAATTTTAACAGAAAACGATAAAAATATCAAAATCAAAACTGACATAAAAAATAACTGAGTCATAAAAAGAATAACTTATTATGATAGTACAAAAAAATTACTGACGGAAGCAAAAAATTCTATAAGCTTCATTAAAATTCGCCACAGATTATATCAAGCGGTGTATCTAAGCATTTTACAAAATGAGAGACGCGAAGAAGACTATTCTAATTAAATTTAACATATATACAGCAAGTATGATTATTAGTAATATGATTATTTTTCTGAGGGGAGGGGACTGAAAATAATCATTAAATTAATCATTCATAAAAAGTACTACAGCCTTACAGCATGAAAGCTGTAAATAATTTTATAATTTGAGGAATAAAATACAATCATTAGTGAGCAGAATATTATAACGTTGATAATAACGCAATCCATGACATTAAAAACATAACATTTTTCATTCGGTAGTAAGCTTCGCCGCCGGGGGCTACTCAATAAATGTTTACATTTGGAACTACTAAGATGGAACAACAGCGCCATCTAGTGACCGCGACATTTTAGGACCGTTTTTCTACTAGGCAGTTTCACCTCCTTCATTATACTCCGTGGTTTGGCCATAGTGTGCTACGGAAATGACTATTCAGTTACGGCCTCTGATTGTAGATTAATTAAATTCCTTCTCATTTCTAATTTCATCTTTTAATGTCACAAGATTGTTGATAAAATATTTCTCAGAAACTTGAATTTTAAAATCATAGACCTTGTTTGTGTGCTATTGTGGGTGTCAATCGTGTATAAATTGCTGTATTTGATAATAATCATGCTGTTGATTCTGGATGATATTCATAAAAAGCATTTGGATCTTCTTAAAGATATAAATATCAAAAGTACGTTGTACACTTGGTATTAAATTCTGTGCAATTTAATTAGTTACAGTGGTTTAAAAATGTGATGTTTCTATAAATTCATTCAGATATTTTAAGCTTTCATTGTTGCGGCCCGTTTCTAAGGATATATTGATGAATAAACTAAAAATTAGATAGGTCTGAATGAGGTTAACTTTTTAGATATTTGTAATTCAAAGTCAGAATTCTTTTTGAGATGTTAGGTGTTATCATAATTTACATGAGAGTTTTTAAAGGTTCCTTGAGGTTTAAATTTTATGGGAAGTTGATAAGAGTAAATTTTTTAGTGCGACTTTGTGTAAAAATAAAAGGTCTATTTACATACTTTTACTATAATATTTTTTTATGAATTATTTTTTTACTTTTATTTGTTGCTTAAATTCATTATATTTCTTCCCTTGTTTCATATTTTGGCTCTAGTATAGAATTGAATACTCCTTCAATTAGCGACAATTTTTTGTAAAATTTTGGCGATGAAATCTTATTTCTGGTTACTATGATAGTGTAACTTTGCTTTAGCTTCCTGATTTTTTTAAAATAAAAATAGATTGATTTGTACATGGACAAATTTAAACAGTGCGCAATGCCTAGTTTGTCCAATTCTGGGATGTTTTTTTAAGTAAAAACAGATTGATGTGTACATGGACACAGAGTTTATGCAATTCTTTGACTTTTTATTTTGGTTTTTGTTTAGCGGCCATCTTGAAATTATGTCTTCCTGGCACCGATCTTGCCGTCAAAAAAGAATCGCCAAAAAACAAGGGGCACGCAATTGTAAACTTTTACCCATTGAATATCGAGTAGTTTTTCATTGTTTCATTGCATGTCTTTTGATTAATTGAAATCTCTGCATTAGGTTACAGTGCTAAAACTCCCAATAGTAAATAAAGAAGTAATTTTGTTTTTGGGAAAAGTTTTGGTGAGATAATTTGCTAGTTAGTTTTGGTCCCTAATTCTATGGGAGGATAATTTCATTGAAAACTATGGAGAAGAACATCTAGAATGATTCAGAAAGTAAATTATAGAAAATGCAAAATAAATTGTAATTTCTGAAACTGTTTGTGGCTAGAGTGCAGAATCGTCCACTTATTGTTTGGCGCTTTTTACAAAAGTAAGAAGATTTGGATTTTTGTCAATTTTCTTTGACTTTTTAAGTGAAAATAGGTCGATGTGTACATGGATAAAGTCAAGGGAGTACACAATGCCATTTTTGTGCAATTCTGGGATGTTTTTTTAAGTGGTCTATGTGTACATGGATACAGAGTATGTGCAGTTCTTAAAAACGCACCAAGCAGTGGGCGATTCTGCACTTTCACCACCGATTGCTTAAGAAAGAACTAGAAAAATTTCTTTTAACCTGGGTCCAGTAATTAAAATAAGACATTGTTAAAATAAGCAGAATACTAAATTAGATGAGTTAGGAGAAGCATCGGATCAAATGAAAGTGAGATTTGTGTTGAAGAAATTTAGAAATGGAAAGCACATTATAATCAAAATGAATGTAGCTTGTCATAAGAAATTCTTACATCCTGTGTAAAATGGAAGATTTTATTCCTTTGTGTGTTGAAGAAGTGTTGTTTTAAATGGTTATCATACAACTTTAAGGCGTCTGAATGCAGAAATTCGCTAACCTGTTTTAGGTGAATGGGAGAACATAAAATTTCAGGATTTTCAGACACATGCAAACTGTGTCCAATTTAATAAAGGAATTAAGAATGCTAGCAAAAAAAAAAAAAAAATTGATGCTAATCATAAACACTTTTCAATTTGCTGCAATATACACGAGTTTTTTAAAAATATGATTATTTATCAGACTTACTATGGCCAATATTTCTTTTTATTCCCATGTGTTATTCAGCTAAATTTGCATAAATCTGAAGTTGACATAAAATTCAGTTCAACAGCAATATTTAAAAACAGCATATGTTTAAAATTTTTGATAAACAGTCTCGCACGCTAGAGATAAATATGTTTTTTTTTCCCCTATACAGTGTTGCCATTGCTCACTTTGAAATCTTTGAGTTTGTTAATCAAAACTTCCTTAAAATATTACAAAATATGAAATAGATAATAAAATAAAATAATAAAATTTAAAGTTTGGCCTTCCAGATGCCCATGTTCAAGAGGGGATTACGTTATTTAAAATTTGACGGCTCCTAGGTACTGTAGTTTTCTCACAGTGCGAGAAACATACATTCATGCAGATTCTTCATCATTTAATTTCTTTAAGTGTAATACAGGGCAATAATATTTGGTGGCAATAATTAAAAAAATGATTCTCCGTTTATTTTGAAACCACAAAATGCCATTTTGAGACTAATAGCCATTCTGTGCTACTGCTCCTTTGGGCTAAAAAGAAAAAGGCTATTCCTATATTGACAGTGGTAAAGCAAAAAACATTATAATGGCAGGTTAATATGTACTATCATCCAAATGTAATTATCGGACATATAATAAATGATATAAAGTATTTTTTCCAATCTTTATTAATTTAATTACTTAATATGGATATATATTATTTAAAATCCACAGACATCAAAATATATATATATATATATATATATATATTTATTTCCACAAAATCCAGGAAGCTGCTTCCCCCCTCCCTCTAAATAAATCCTTTGCTCATTGTTATTCCCAGAAGTAGCTGTAAAGAGTGAGCATGATTTGCTTTTCACTTCCTCAATCTGGATTGCTATTCTGAAACTTTAAAGCTTGTTTCTCTTTTCTCAGTCATCTCAGTTTCCAGTTATCTTCTTCCAGTGGCTGTTGGCTTTGAAAAAAAATGCACCTTTCTAGCCTTTTAGAAATGCATATTAAAATTTGTTGTTTTACATGTAACAAATGATGATGTAAAAGCTCAGTGGCACCACTTAAATGTAAAACATTAACTAAATGGGAAAAAAATATGTAATTAATTTAGTGGATAAAAGCTGAATGAAAAATTTGAAATGATCAACAAATTTGCTATTCCAATAAGTTCTTTATTATTGATACTGAAAAATAAAGAAAATATGAAGTGAAAGTTTAATTATCATTCATTAAATAGTATATAACGGGAAAAGATTTTATGATAGAGTTTCATAATGAGATTGAAGCCACAGTATTTCAGTGATTTCGGGGAATCAGAGTGATTCCAGTCTCCTTTGCTAAAAGAAAGAACAACAAAAACTTTCAAAATATACTAAATATTTAAGACAGAAGGGTTTTAGATGGATGTAATGGTTTAATTTAGCATTATGGAGCAATATTCAAATCAACATGTAGAAAAAAGTGATCCGATAAATGAAGAAATGATGGAAAAGTCAAAGCCTTTTAATCTTTTTTTTATTTTACAATATCGTACCTGTAATGCTAATAATAAAAAAGAAATGAATTTTTATTTTAATATTGTACAAAATATTAGCTATTAAAAAGGAAATATGTACTTGGGGTAAAAATTCTAAAATGTATTCAACAGTGATTATTTACACTAATGGGGATGGCCCAGACAAAAGAAAGCTGTTTGTAATCAATAAATATAGAAACCAAAGATGTTTTAAAAGATATGAAACTTTAGCAGCAGATTATAAAATTAACTGAAAATCCGGAATGATGTCACAGACGTTTACAAAGCAGATAATGAAATCAGTAACAAATTCCTTCTTCCAAAGAGATCTTTCAGTAACAAAATTCTTCTAATAGGTAATTGTGCGACCTGTGCAACTAACGTAATTCTAAAACTTAATTCCCTTGTGGAGAATTTCATAGTTTTAGGGAGGAAATATGGTCAGTATTTTAATTACTTGTGGTTGCATCAATACATAAATACCCTGTTTTCAAGTTGTGGCATTGTTCCATTATTTTCTTCCTTCATGTTCGTAGATTTGGAGTGAATAACGACAACACTTGATGAATCGAAGCACACTTTAATGGCCAGTATTATTCAAAACAGGTCCAATAACACGTTTACACAGTCTTCAAAGAATTGCAATAAACACGCTGACACGATCAGGGACACAGCCTTCACACTATCAGGCTATAATAGTGGAGACAGTTTCACGACAAGCACCAGAGTACGGCTTCCGACTCTGCTCGGTCACTCTTGGAACTCTACATACTCTCGAGACTCTCCGCACTACAATTCGCGATGCACTTGATGATACGCAAGAGTACAGCTCTTGACGCAAGACAAAACTCGTCAATGCACTAACTTGCGATACACTAAAAGACTCTCTCGATGCACTTAGTGCTAAACTTCGAGACACTCGCTCGATGACTGACTATCAACTCACTAGACAAGGTACTAACTAACTCGATACTAACTCTCCACGTACTAGCAGGGTTTACATAGCTTTTGACTTGTATTCAAGAACATTCTGGGCTAAACCAGTAAGAATTCATTCCAGAAGGTTCTCCATCCATCCATGGCATATTGCAAGTTTTGTCGGCAAGTGGGCGATTTATCACCAAATGTGACAACATTGCCTTCTCTTCCCATTTTATGGCAACCCTAAACCTGCTTTGCGGAGCAGCCATCTTACCGCGCCTGGACATTTCAGTAATAGTATTTATCTACTTTTTGTTGTCTTTTAAATCTGCATAAATATATATATATTTACTTTTCAAGTTTTGGAAAGGAGCAGGGAAAATGATCATCTAAAAGGGGTACATGAGACAAAAAAGTCCCCTCTTCTAAAATGATTATAACAGTGTACCATCATCCTTCTAATACACTTATATATCATTATGATTTTTTTCATTGCAAGTAGTCTTATGTATTTAAATATAATGTGAACTTGTGTGTTAGATACTTTTCAAATAATAAACATTTCCCATCTTATATTTGCTTTAGTTCTGAAAGAATTTTGTCGAATAGCCATTGAACATCTTCGTAAAGGAAGTAATCCAAAAGTATATCAGAGTGCTGCTCGTAAGTAGATTAATTTACAATGCACTTTGATATATTTATTTAAAATACTGTAGAATTTATATTCATATTTAGATTTAAAAATCAAGAGATATATGATTAAAAAAATGTCTGTAAAATCTCTCGTCTTTAACAGTATAATCTTATTTACATGTTTTTAGGTATGTAACAAGTTTTTTTAAATGATTTCCCTTTATAAAGTTAAAATTTTTAGTTTTTATATGACTTTTATAAATTCAAGTTTTAAAATATTCATGTAGTAATCAGTTTTAAGTATTGGGATTTGACAATTTTAAAGAAGTAAATGTGCTGGTTTAATTATTGAATTAAATTTTTATATAGCCTTTATATTTTATTACTGTAAACATAAAGGTTTAATTTAATCCTCTCTTCTTTTTCCATATGTAATTTTTGTGGAATGATTTAAACAGCAATAAATATTTTTTTGATTGTTTTTATGTTAATTTTTTGAAAATATTCACTGATGCTTTCTTGTAAACATATTATCAATTAACTTTTTTATTATTATTAGTTCTTTTTATGCAGTAATAGAACATTGATAGCTTTTTTCCCTTATCTTTTTATTAATTATAATTCTATTGTTATTTTAGAAAGACTGAATGTAGAAGCTGATCTTGTGCAAAATGCTGTCACTGGTATCATGCATTTGTTTACTGAAGCAGCAAAAAATATGGCATGTATTATTTTGTTTTTATTTGCTTACAAAATTATCTTATATAGCAATTTATGATGTATATTCTATGTACATTTAAAATAAGAACTTATGGATATCCTGTAAAAAAAAAAAAAATTTTTACCACGATACTGTAGCATCGATACAGGTTCCTAATGGATTGAATGCACACAGAACCGATGATAGCTTAATAACATTTATTTTTTCAAAAGAAATACTTTACAGTTCTGGAACTTTGAACAAAAGCACTCATACACTATCACACTCTTGTGAGTATCACACAGCAAAATCAGTTGTTATACTTCAAACTACTAAAAATATTAAACACAGCATAATGCAAAGCGCATCTAAAAGGCGAAGCTCTCACGGATATCTTAATACTCTGAAGTCAGCTCTGAACTAACAAACAAGAAGATGCTCTCTTCGGGCTTATATAGTTTTACTTCGGCTGCCAAGAAATCTCTAGTACCCTCCATTTTCTTGAATTTACTGGGTGGCATGTATGGTTAAAGTTATATACAAAGACCTGATATGGTTACAGTTACATTTAGGAATCAATTACATTTATTCAGGGACTGAATCAAATGGTCGCTGAGTTTGGTGACATTTCACGATTTCTTACCAAATTTGATGGCAAAAATTAGTCTTCAAAACTATCATCAGCTTGGCAGTATCTCTCTAACTTAATGAGATAGCCATTTACTCACTGTTAACCTGCCCCTGTAATTGTAGTTTTCCATCAGAGCTTTATCTCTAGACTTTTCATGTTGTATTATACAAAAGATATTATAGTTTCACATATAATTTTGTTAAAATTATTTACATATATTCAAAATTCATAACAATACTGTAGTTGATTGGAATGGCAGTCTACACAAGATTTGTGCAAAAGATGGGACAGGAGAGAGAAAAGTAGAAGCCGCTTGTGTAGTTGTCAGAATGGACGAGAGTGTATTTCCAGTAGAAAGAACAATGCCAATTGTGTTTTCTCTCAACAATGGGGTTTTGGTTTGATATGCAGAGTGACAAGAGAAGCATTTCTGGCAGCAGTATGCAACAGAAGAGCATGTTGTTTTTTGTGATGCATCAAGGAAAATATTAGTGATGAAACCATGATTTATTCAGATTGTTGGAAAGGAAACGAAACTCAGGCATTTGAGGAAGCTGGTTATTTCCATCTGAAAGTTAACCACAAATATAATTTCATAGATCCAGAAATGGGTGCTCATACGCAAGCTGTTGAGCATTTATGGGGATTAGTTAAACGAAGAAATAAAATACAATGTGGTACCACAAGGCAACATCTCACATCCTATCTGTCAGAATAATTTTGAGGAAGAAGCAAGTGGGAGGAATTATTTTGATTCCATTATAGAGGCAATAGGCAACACCTGAAATAAGCACTAATTGACATGAGCAATGCCCCTTCTACCCTTTTTATAATTAAATTTAGTCTTCTCATTGTCTTATTATTCATTATTATGTGTTGTTATATCATATTATTTGTTTTTATGATTTTATAATATTGTGGGCAGATAAAGGAAAAGTACCCATTGAAATTTTACATGATGGTAATTCAGAAAAAGAATCTGTGTGCAAAATACCTCATTCTTAAGAAAATATTAATAAATAATATTTTTTCTATATTGTGATCTTATTAGATTTAAGCTGATGATCCAAAATCCAGAAATTCCTAGAATCGAAACAGTTCCTGGAAAAGAACTCTGTCAGTCATGACTGACAGAGTTCTTTTGGTAATGCTTTCATATTCAAATGTATGAAAAAAAGCGAGAAAGAGAAATGATCAAAACAAAACCAATCTTAGTGGTTTTTGGTTTACCAAAACCATCTTATAAAATAAATAACTGTTCACTTACTACATTATTACCATGGATTCTTTACTTACATATGAATGGAATTCATATAGTGTTCATGTGTGCATTTCATAAATTATGAAAAAATAAATTTTATACTTTTCAGTGATAAGTTCTTTATTTATAATACACATTTATTATAGGTGAATGAAACAGAATTCCGTGATTCAATCATATTTTTGGGTTTTAATGCTGAAAGCCAGGAAGAACTCGTTAGATGTTATTTAGAAAATAGTCAAGAAATTCGATCTTTGCTCACTACTTTAAATGTGGGTATTCCTCATTATCATAATCTGGAATGGAGAATTGATGTTCAGGTATATATTATATTCTCATCATATTACTATAATTAGGTTTACCATAATATTTTTTTTTCTTCTCGAACTAAGGCATTTTTAGAAAATACAGCAGAAAATAAAACCTACTACTGTAGTGGAAAAGAAAGGGAAACAATTTTGTATCTCCTGTTCTACTTGGTGGATGAACAAAATTCAAATTTCAAATTATGTCTAAAAGCCAAATTTTGTAAAATTTGGTGTCACATTTAAGCAGTAATGTTTATAAAGGTCTGTTTATGGCACAGCTTTAAGATTAGAATATAGCATTCCATTTGTCTTGTCTATAATAGGTGGTGGTGTATTTAATTATGGCAAAGCACACTAGAGCTATCTGCCTAAGGGGGAGGGATGCCTTCATGAAGGACTTTCTAAGGGAAACTGGCTCGTATATACGTTACACATGGGGAAAACCACGAAAACACCCATGCAACCTGCCCGTTCGCGGGATTCGAACCTCGGACCGAACTACCAGTGTTCAGCGACTTTACCGCTCGGCCACTGGTGGGCTGTCTATAATAGGAAAAACTTACTTTTGAAAAGACACTCGAATTTTGTGAATAGGAAATAATACTAAAGAGACAAATCTAGAGAACATGCTGGATGACTAAGTACACACACTTATTTTCAGGACAGAACAGTACTACAAAGTGGTTATTGACCAGTGGAAAGATGGATCTTTTCTTATTAGGTGACAAAGTCATGCAGCATTGTTCCTGGACTTGGCTCTACCCTGTGTATAATAAAGTTGGATGATGTGCGTATCTTTTCGCATAGCATAGAAAAAGTTCATAAGATTGAGAATTCAAAGTATAGCAGGGAAGACTGTATGAGTAGCAATTATCGCATGTAAAATGTAAGTAATTATGGCATACATTGTGTGCATAATTTGATTTTACATTTGTCGAGATGTATCTGAAACTAAATACTGTAACGCAATTTTGATCATGTGATACAATGGCTTCAGAATGAAAACGTAAGATTAAAAATTGTCTGCTTAAATACTAGCTATTTAAATTAGCTATTGAACAAAACATTTAAAGTTTCAGCACTGTTTTGACACTTCAACTTATAAGATAAATCTAATGTCACTTAATCAAAACATCTGTTTAATCTTCCCATGGTGTATAACAGGGAGATATTTCTCCTGTCTTTCACCTAGATTCCAAGAACAATACTTAAGCTTTAGTTTAGATTTCAAGTGAATACAATAACAGCAAATGTATCTGAACATTCACTTGTAGCACAACTTGGTGGTTAAAAACTAATGTATTAACAGAACTCTGCTGTTTGTGCCTGAGTATATAATAATAGTATAAATATTTATAAATCAAATATTAAATTAGAATCTGTAGGGTTGCTATTATAACTGGAAACTATAAGTCTGCAGACCCAACTAGACTGATAGAAAGTTATGGCTACATCTTAAGTAACTCACCAAATACAGAAGAAGGTTCAAATAACCTTTATATTTTATTCCCAACTTGAACATAAAGGCACAACTGGTGCTACAGATGAATTTTTCCACAACTTAAGGATATTTTTTCCACAACTTAAGGATATTTAGAGCTGGCTAAACATGCTGACAGCAATACATATGATTTCTATCAACCAAACATTCAAAACCCTCATCATAAATAAACACAAAGCTAATTTGCATTCTGGGGAGAAATATGGAAAGAAGAAATTATAGTAAAGACTGATATCATCATAACTATTTAATTAACATGAGATACTGTACAAATTTAATAACCTGGCTCATAATTTAAGTAGCCCCACAAGTGGCCAAGTCATTAAAGAATACTGATAGTTTTTCCCAGAAATCAACCCAGACAAAAGAGGTGGCTGCATGTTTTTCTTGATTTTCCGTATGTGCAACATGACTACAATCTACTTTTCCTTAGAAAAATCCTCCACGGAGTCATTATTCCTTCTAAAAGAGATAGCTTCTATATTTTTTCCACATTAAAATAGCCAACCAACTTAACTTTATGCATGATTTCTAAATGCAGATTTCCAAACCGAGAAAACGACAAACTCACCGAAGCCTAGTATAATTATTCGGTGATTCCGAGGAATCATAGATGTAGTGCCAATGGCTGAATTGCCACTTAATTTGTATTTTTTGACAAAGTTGACAGGAAGTGTGGAAGCTAATTTGATTAAAATTTTTGAAATAATTGTCCAAGAAATTTAATAAATTCTAATATAACAGAAATAAGAATTATGTGAAAATGTTATAATAATCATCATATGCAGGGTATTTGTAAATGAATGGTGCAGTTTTAAAAATTAGTAATAAATTGATATATTACCTTACCCATGTAAAACCTATACCATAAGCATTGGCAACTTTCCAAGTTTCTCATGTGCTACCTCTGTTTGCTTGTCATGCTTACTGTGCAGCCACAGCTTCAGTTTTTAGGAAAAGTCTCTCTTTGTACTCCGTTATGATGTGTCCACATATGTGGTTTGAGTGCAGCTTGAGTTTCATGCACGTTTTCTGTACAGTGTCCCTCGAGAAAGTGCACAGTCCATTTTTCTTTGAACAAGAAACTGTGATTGGCGACTCTTTTCTATACACGTTTAGTACTAGTTGTTACCCTAACTAAGCCCAATTATGATGATTACATTTTACAACTGGATGGTGTTCTGCCTCATTTTCACAAGAATGTACGAAAGCTTCTTAACCAATGCTAGTTAGTTAAGGCATAATCAATGCTAGTTCTTAACCAATGCTAGTTAGCTAGGCATGCTGCAACAGCAGACAACAACCTCCTTGGTCACCCCTTTCAGTCCCTGCAATTTCTTTTTTTTTGGGGGGGGGTTGTTAAAGACCCCCAAAACTCTTTGGGGGTTGGTTTTTAATATTCTTAATAAATTTAAAAAGTAGCTTTTCATGTATTATTAATAAATATTTATTAGGCATTATTAATAAAAATGAAAATAAAAAAATTCCCTATAAATAATCCTCAGTAAAAGTCCGTTTGTAAATTTAAACCTCAAAATAACTGTTATCATTCAATGAAGATTATAACAAAGTGTGTAGCCATATTTGGCATTATTATTGCTTTATGCTGAATTTAAAATCTTAATTTACATATTCACATATATTTTGGGAAAATTTGAATTTTCAAGTATGCCTGGAATTAGATCGTCTTTAATATGATGGCAAACATTTTAAAAGTTTATTTTTTTTTTCAAAAAATTTATAAAGTTATTTGAAAATACAAAAATTAAAGCTAAATCATGAAAAAGATACAAATTTTATATGGATTGAACCTAAATTTCGAATTCTGAAAGAAGGAATCAAGTAAGTTTAATAAAAAAGAAAGAGAGCTCAATAAATATGTACCCATTAACACTGAGGAGCTGAAATTTTGAAACTTGATTTTTTTTTTTTTTTAATCTACTCAGATCTTTATGAAACTTTGCACTTTGGCATAATTTAAGGCATATGTTAGAAATTTTGAGAAAAAAATCAATGTGTCATTTCAGAAAGAGTCTAATTTTTCGTAAAAATAACTTATGTTAGAACAAGGCCTTATATGTAAATGTAATGTATACCCTAAGCGGACTTTTGAAAGTTGAAAAACATTGATTTTTGTCAATTAGCCCATTAAAACAGCAGATATAAAATCGTCCCCTTTTCCTCTTTCCCCCCTTCTCCCCCCTTTTTTTTGTTTTTTTATGTTTTCTGTGGCTTGGTGTACCTATGATTGAAAAGACTAAGCAAAAAAACTGTTAACAAAAACAAAAATGTGTTAAAAGAAATTTTTAATAACTCAACTGAGCATACTTTGCTAATGTTTATCCTTTTGTTTCAAAGCACTGAAATCACTTTATATGAACAGTCATCTGACTTAAAGCTGAGATTGTGAATAATAACAGGAATACAAAAGTTGCTTCTTTAGCTGCTTTTAAGAATTTTTTGACACATGCATTGATACCTTTGAAATGTGATAGTATATTTGAGAAAGTTTCTGCTACTGCTTCTAAGCTTACCTTATATTTTGCTAATTTCAAATGATTTGTTATGTCCAAATGCTCACCATGAGCTAATGAATATTATGAAAAGCATAGTAAACATTTCACTTTTTCATTATGATTGCAAACGTTTTCAGAAATTGAGGGTCCTTTCTTAATTCATCGGCAGTACAGTTTTTTTTTTTTTTTTTTTTTTCTATATTTTAGAGATTGATTTACAATACAAATTAATCGCAAATGTTGACTCGCAATTTGACCTCAACTAAGATAGGATATGAGCAACAGTGAACAGGACTAGTGTAATTTTCAGTGTTGCCAACACTAATTGAAACAAAATATCAAAAAATAAAAATAAATGGATCTCATGGGCTCTCATATCAATTTGTTATAAATTCTGTTAAAAATATAAAAATATTTAAATGAAAAAATAAAGCATCTAAATTCATTGCTATAATAATTTATTACTATAACACTTGTTATAATTTTGAGAAAAATATCTAGAAAACATTAAAAGATTGAGATCTAAATACAAAATATTTAGATTGGCAACAGTAGGCATAAGAAAGGGGATGGTTTGATCACCATATTGCCGTTTTACTTCTTTTATATTCGTCACATTTCAAAACTTTACCAAATAACAGTGACAAAGTGATAAACTAACCAGGATGCAGAGAGCAGCTTATGAAAGTGGGATATCTAATAAGGTTATCTATATTTATTTCAATGTATGTACTTAAAATACCTTTATATGAAACTGCTCATTAGTAGCAAAATATGATTGTAGTTTTTTTCAGCAAAAAGGTTTAAAAGTTTAATACTCACCTTATTTTAATATGATTGTTATTAGATGTAGTATTTTAATTTTAAAAATAAGTCAATTTCTTATATGTTTCTAATAAGCTTTGTATTATTTTATTGAGGATCCCAGTTAAAGGAATTGTATAAAGCTTACTTAAGGTTTTAATAATTTTGATGTAAGTTTAAAACATATATGTTTCAGCAGAATTTCTGAAAATAATGTTGTTTTTAAAAATAATTACACACAGCATTATTATTTTTTAACAGTCTCACTTTTTCAAATTACTATTATAAATATCATTTCCAATACTTGTTTCCTGAAAATAAGTCCTAACATTATTTTTCAAGGTATTCTTAATATAAACCTTAGTTAAAATCGTCAAGCAGACAGACGCCTAATTGTTGAATGACCAGATGCAGTTCATGCACATTTGAAACAAACGATCTGGTTGTGATAAAGCAGAATTTTCAGTATTCAATATGTTGCACTAGCAACAGATGTTTAGCACTTGATTTAATAATAGATTTAAAATATAATAAATGTTGATGCTAAGATAAACTGAGTGCAAAGACAGATAAACTGATTGCAAAGAGAAGAGCTATTCCATTGAGTGCAAAAAAGAAATTGTTGAAGATTGAGAGAATAAAATTTTACGCCTTCTACAAAGAGAAGTTGGATCTACTAATGGTCCAAAAATGGCAATCAGAATACAGTAACCTCCGTCAGCAGGTCCACGAGGGAAATGTTAAGAAGCCTAAGTGTGGATCAGGTCGGCAACCATTATTTCCTGAATTGGAAACACATCATCTGTTGATCGAATGTTGACAGAGGTGCAGAACTTTTGGTTATTAACAGGGCTAAAGTTCAAGCATTTTCCCTTGCATAGAGCTACAACTAGATATGAGCATAACACCACAGCTAGGCATATCGCAGACGAATTTAAAGCATTGTAACACTGGGAAGATGGCTTCTTTGTAGCGGAATGAACTGTCTCTGAAGAAGTTGACAACTCTGCTGAAATGCGAAGATACTAAAGTGATTAAATGTGCATTTGTATTCAAGTGTTTCATTGATGGCATTAAATTCTAAGTACCAACTTTCAAACACGATTGCTGTGGATGAAACTGCAGTGTTTATGGGTCAAGGGTCTCAAACTACCACTGATCAAGTGCAGGAGTCTGCTAGTATTCCTGCGCTAAAACCATGAAGAACTCCCTTCCATAAAGAAGAATTGATCAAATATTGATTCCCGTAGGAATCACTGCATATCTTCATACTCTTGATAATGTAATAAAGAAGCCATTTAAAGACCATTTTCATTCAGATAACAATGAGAAACAATTTTGCATTTTCAATGTCATTGAAAATAAAATGGAGAGAAATCAATGAGCAAAATTTGTGAAGCTACAAGAAATCCTACTTGGGTGTAGAATACATGGGATAAAATAACAGATTCTTTGTTGCCAATGCACTATGAAACATCGACAAGAAGAACTTTTGGTTGTTAACAGGGCTGAAGTTCAAGCATTTTCCCTTGCATAGAGCCACAACTAGGCATATATAGAGCCACAACTAGATATGAGCATAAAACCACAGCTAGGCATATCGCAGATGAATTCAAAGCATCGTAACACTGGAAAGATGACTTCTTTTAGCGAAATAAACTGTCTCTGAAGAAGTTGACAACTCTGCTCAAATGGGAAGATACTGAAGTGATTAAACGTGCATTTGTATTCAAGTGTTTCATTGATGGCATTAAATTCTAAGTACCAACTTTCGAACACGATTGCTGTGGATAAAACTGCAGTGTTTATGGGTCAAGGGTCTCAAACTACCACTGATCAAGTGCAGGATTCTGCTAGTATTCCTGCGCTAAAACCATGAAGAACTCCCTTCCATAAAGAAGAATTGATCAAATATTGATTCCCGCAGGAATGACTGCATATCTTCATACTCTTGATAGTGTAATAAAGAAGCCATTTAAAGACCATTTTCATTCAGACAACAATGAGAAACAATTTTGCATTTTCAATGTCATTGAAAATAAAATGGAGAGAAATCAATGAGCAAAATTTGTGAAGCTACAAGAAATCCTACTTGGGTGTAGAATACATGGGATAAAATAACAGATTCTTTGTTGCCAATGCACTATGAAACTTTGACAAGAAGAACTCATTTAGCAAAAGCTCTGTTGCTGAAGTTGCAAAAGGTTCAGGCCGAAATTCGTGATTTGGAGCTTTGTGACGATGTTGCAGAAGAAGAAAATATGGCTGTATTAGAATAAAGGATTTTGTTCATTTTTTAAATGTTTCTTGAACCTGAATAAATGTATTTCTTGAATCTGAAGAATGTATTTCTTGAATCTGAAGAAAGTATTTCTTGAGAACCTGAATAAATGTTTCTTGAGAACCTGAATAAATGCATTTCTTGAACATGAACAAATGATAATTATTATGCATGAAAAATAAGGCATCCCTGAAAATAAGCCCTAGTGTGTTTTTTGCAGCAAAATATTATGTAAGACTCGGTCTTATTTTCGGGAAACATGGTAATTGAAAAATGCTAGAAATGAAGTAAGTTTCAAAAAAGAATCTCATATTAAATATTTTTCCCCATTAAAAATAATTAATTTATATAAATTATCCCCTATCTAATTTTCTTCATCTTTTTAATTATGCTTTATCCTTTTGTTGTTATTAGTTTGCTGTTAGTTACATATTTAATGCTTAATAAACAACTTTTATTTTAGCAGTTTTTAATGCTTCATATAATCAGCTGATTTCAGATCCTGTATTCGGCATGCGTGCAATTTGAGATTGCTGATTTAATGCGCATTTAAAGACAAAGATATTTTTCAATTGATTGAAATAGCTCAATTTCGAAGTCTCAGTTTTTTTAATCAAAGTTCAGTCTTTTCGCTAATGAGCATTGAACTGAAATATCAGTATTTCGTTCACTGTCATTGTTATGCATATAATTTTTGTAAAGAGTATTTGATTTTTGTGTTTTTGCAAACTATCCATATTAGTGCAAAATTGTATGCAAATTTTATTCTTTGCATAATTATTGCAAAATTAAAACAAATATATTCTGGCATTTTTCTTTTTGTTGAATCAATTATGTATATTTACATTATTTTTTATTCCTCAATTCAGATTGCAAGCAGAAACTTGCGCAGACCAGTTGAACCGTCTTTTCTTTTGAAATTGCAACTGCAGAAAGATGGGGAGGCAGTCAATAATGTTTTTGAAGCTGATCCTTCTAACATTATTCACATGACAGAAGTATTAGATCAAGCCCTTCAAGAAGCAAAATCCCATCATTGTCGACGAATTATGAGAAGCATAAAATAAACAAATATTTATATAATGTGTTATTATTCATCTTTTCTACGTTGTAGCATGCTATGAAGTGTAAAGTAATTAATTTAATAGTTGACATATATTTTAGAAATGTTACTCAATAAATTAATTTTTATAAATTCACATATCTCACCGTTTCATTATTTCAATATTAAAGGTACAGTCAAATACGGGAAATCCGCTGACCTGAAATCTGCACAGCCTCTCAAAATGTAAGCACTCAGTTTATGGGTTCAGTAAAACCGCAACATGGAGAATGAAATACCAAAATCTCGTTAAAGAGGCTAGAAGGCATTGATACAATGTGTGCTTACCATCAAACTGCAAGATTAGACAACTACTCTGCACATCCAGATGCAACCATTTTAATGTGTGATAAATTCATGGCCCTATTTTTGCCCCCAAATTCTCTATCCCTGATATAGCCAATGGACCAACACAGTATTAAATTCCACATTAATGCTTTTGAAAATAACTCTTTTAAGAGACCATTGTATTTCACTTTGTGATTAGAAAAAAAATTTTGCCACCAAAGACTGCATGGATTTGTTAGCAGAATCATGGAATTCTGTTTTCCAGACATCATTAATAAATGGCTGGCGTAATGTATGGCCTGTTCTCTGTCTGTTGAAACTGAGACCAATGACGCTGAATTTTCTGGTTTTAGGGACAGTGCAGCAAAGGTTTAAGCAAGAGAATTGCTTCTGCATTCGGAAAAGGAGCAAATGAGGAGGCTTTGCAAGAAGATATTGTTGTGTGCGTGTGGAATTGTAATAGACTGAATGCACAAGCCTGGCGAAAAGTTAATAAAATTTATTCTTATCACAAGAAATAAAACAAAATGCTGAAATTGTTCCCCACAGATATTCGTACAATCTGACACAGTAGTTGTATTTTAAACTACTAAAACATTAAATAGTATGCAATTTAAATGCAGAGAAAGCTATTCCGATCTCACCCCGAATTCGCTACAATTAACAACTTAGTAAACAACTGAACCGAGGTGCTTTACTCCGGCTTTTATAAGCCTTTTCATCAGCACGAGAAAATTCTGGTATTTTCTCAAGGTTTCTGGAAAGCAAAAGAGTACAATTACGAGATATCTATTTATTAAATGATAAATGCGTGTGCTCCTGTATTTTTACTTTTTCGCTGTAGCTTTCTCTAAAAACTCGTCATGCGCTGCATTGCACAGGGAAATAAAACAATTTTAATTACAATTCAACAAAAAATAGCAATTAAATACAAAATCCGTAACACTACCCCCTTCCCAAGGACTGCACGTCCTGGACAGGAAGCCAAACTTACAACTAAGGCATCAATGCAATAACAAACATTGCATAACAAGAGCAAACAATGTAAACAATAATTGCAATAAGTAACTTAAAACAAATTAAATACAAATCAAACCAGATACAAATTAAGAAACAAAAAGGACCATGTTTTTATACTTTGTACACTACTTACTATGGCCACAGTAAGGAGCTAACCTGTCGTAATGAACAACTTTAGGCTTTAGGTTCGTTAACTTAACGGATCCGAACCACCACGTCATTCAACCTGTTTAGGACTATATACGGACCAACCAAGGTGATTGTAGTTACGGACAGAATCCTTTCCTTCGAATCGAATTCCACAACCACACCTTGTCTCTGCTGAATCGATGTCCAGTAGCTCTGGTGTCGTATCGAGTCTTCGTCTTCGTCACTAAGTTGACTCACTCTCGTGCAAAATTGTGCATCACTTCAAACCGGGCCTGGAGATCTTGGATCTATTCTTCAGGCGATGAAAGCACACCTGGAGGGTGACCAAATTAGAGATGACAAGGCAGACGAAGGTCACGACCAAAGAGCATCTGAGATGGGTAATACCAGTGGTTTCATGTTTCTCTTCGACCCTGGTACAGTCAAAAGTCGTTAATCCGGATTCGTCAGGACTTCGGCGATTCCGGATTATAGATCATCAGTGTAAATCTGGTAAGATGGCATGCAGAAATTATAAAATTAAAAATATGAAATCGTAATTATGAAATAAACAACAATTATGATCTAAAGGGTATGAAAATTTACAAAAAGAAAAAGCTTAATATTTATTTGTTTACTTTATTAAACATTTCTTTCAATGTAAGTTGTTTAAGTTGCTTCGTTTCATGTGATAATACTTTCTCTTTAATTCTATTAAACAGACATAATTTCTTGTTGAGTTACAAAGTTCCGCTGTTCAAGGCCTATAATTGCTGTGTCGAGAATACCAACTAATTTGTCAATCGAAATTTTTTCGTTTTCAATAACCTCTGTGTCACTTTCTTCACTATCGGAAGCGAATTATAATGACGAGGAACTTGATTTAAATCATATCAAAGACGGAGTACATCGAGATAAAATACTACATTTAGTAAGGAATTATAAGCCAAATAAAATAAAAACATCTACCCTGAAGATAAGGATAGTGCTGACAGATCAACTTCCAATTCATTGCGCGCCGCGGCGTTTCCCCCCCCCCCGCGCCGCAGAGCAGCGTGAAATTGATAAGCAGATTTCGGAATGGTTAGAGAAACAAAGGATATGCCTTTATCCATTTTTTGCAGCAATTCCACTTTTTGTTTAATGGACTTCGAAACATATTTTCGCTTTGTAGATCCTTTACATATTAGTAAGTATATATCAGAAATTCTATTTGACATAATCGAAAGTTCAAGTTTACTTTTATAAAATTGCTCTAAGAGTCTGAAAAAAATAATAAGCCAGATCCAATTCGAAGATTAAGGATCAACGCAATCTGCAACATTAACTGAATTAGATAATTTTAGCTTAGCTTATACCATCCGTTATACATTAAACGCGCACGCTTAAACGCCTATGCTCAGAAAGTTTGTAGCTTTGAGGTCCGGATTATAGATCATTCCGGATTATGGGTGTCCGAATTAACGTCTTTTGACTGTATTATTTATGCAGTTTTCTGAGCAGGGTCTTTCAGACGAGTCGTTTCCAGGTGCGGATCCCTTCTAATGATGGATAATTACGTCCTCTGATGCTGAAAGCAGTTTGCCGTGTTTGAAGTCCAAGGAAAAACTGTATTTCCTTAAAACGCCCAATCCGAGTATGCAAGCATTTGTAATATCTGCCACATATGTCGTATGGTACTAGGCTGCACTTCCAAACGTAATGTTCACATATAACTTCCTATCTATGACGATTTTATCAGACACAAGCTGTAGGGTAACGCAGGATGGCGTCCAAATGAGTTTAAAGTGTTGTGCTAAATCTTTCCGAATGATTAGCTCCTGTGTCAATGATCATATAGCAAGGAACTCCATCAATACGCTCATTAATGGATAGTCCGTTACTGTTGCCTCTCACTGTAGAAATCTGGAGCGCATTAAAACGGGGTTTTTTATTATTTGGCAACCTCTGCTCCTCGATATGGGCATTAAATTGTTTCCTGCGTCGTTGCTGGGACGTGGTCTTATTTTCTGTGCCCTGAGGTGTTCTGCAGTTCCTTCATACGCGGCCTTCAACTCCACAATTCCAGCAAATTGGTTTCTTGTCACTCCTTTTCCGTCCCATGGCATTTAATTGTCTGTTTAAATCGTCTGTCTTATTTTCCGTGCTCTGGGCGTTCTGCAGTTCCTTCGTATGTAGTCTTCAACACCGCAGATCCAGCACTTTAGGATTGGTTTCTTTTCGCTCCTATTCCGTCTCAAGGCATTGATTGGTCTTGTCAAATCGTCCGTTTTATTTCCCGTGTCCCTGCGTGTTCTGCAATACCGTCATATGTGGCATTCAGTACCACATTTCGAACACTTTAGAGGAAGTTTGCTCCGTAAACACTACCCCCTTCCCAAGGACTGCACGTCCTGGACAGTACAGTCCCTGGACAGGAAGCTACTGTCCAGGACAACTAAGGCATCAAGCTACTGTCCAGGACAACTAAGGCATCAAGCTTCTGTCTAGGACAACTAAGGCATCAAGCTACTGTCCAGGGACTGTACTGTCCAGGACAACTAAGGCAACTTACAACTAAGGCATCAATGCAATAACAAACATTACACCCCGTATCAAATCATTGAAGTGTCTGGATAAATCATCTAAACGAGCCATCTACTGATCCACTGGCTCGTGGACTTGCAGAGCTTTGACTGGGTAGCGACCTCTACGAGTTACTTGCTGAACTATCTTGAATTTCATGGCGCACACTAGAGCGCTTTTTACGTCTTTAACATCCGCCATTCGCAGAGCTTTCTGTATTCCTGGATCCCGGATGCCATCGATGAAGTATTGCAGGCACAGGATTTCCCTTGTTTCTGTCGGGTACTCCGAAAAGGCGAGGTGAGATAGCCTTTCAACATCCGTGGCGAGCTCCTCGAGTGTTTCCGTGGGCTTCTTTTGACGGGACTTTAAATGAAGCCTACTGTAATCTTTTTTCTCGCCAAAGCGCAGCTCCAACGCGCCGGATAGAGGTTCGAAGTCTAGTGTCTGGTTTTCTGGAAGAGTTTGAAGAATATCCGCAGCGTCTGCTCTAAGAGAAGCGGCGAGATGGCAGGGCTTAGCTTGGGAATCCCATCCATTCACATCCGCCACTATGGAAAATTGCGTCTTATGTACTTACCAGGAGATCCTCCCATCTTATGTTGATCGCTTCAGTGAGGGACGAGCAGGCATGGGTAAAAATTTAAATCCATCAGAATTGCTTCCTGCTGTCGCTATGCATTTCTTTAAGATGTCAACTTCTTTGGCAACGGCAGCAGAAACCCTGTCTTCAATTTCTTGTTCCACTGCAGAAACTCTTTCTTCTATTTGTTCTTTTAGAGAAGCAACTCTTTCTTCTATTTTTTCTTTTACCGAAGAAACTCTTTCTTCAATGTGTTCAACTTTATTTTCAACCGCGTCAATTCTGCTTTTCATAGCCTCGAATTTGTTTTCTATTACTCAGGTAATTTCTCTTTTCAATTCCTCTTAGCCTGCCTTAATCTTTTCTTGAACCGCTTTACTCTACCCGCTTTCATCTCCTCTTTAACAGCTACTTGACTACTTCATCTCGTCTTGAACGGCTACTTGATATGCTTTCATCTCTCCTTTAACAGAATCTTTCATGTCTTCTTTGATGCTTGCCAGCTTCCATCT